GAAAAGTTGTGAAAATAATATTAAAAAACACAATATCAATAACACTATGGCGTAGAAAAGAGGGAGAAAAGAGTCGAAAGTGTCAAAAGCCTTCATTGGCGAACGACTTTTTTGTTTATGTAGGAACTGAGAGATAGCTTTTTGACCGAAAAACACTCTTAACCCCATGCAGGTATTCAGTGAGGGGCAACTCTTGCGGAATAAAGCTGAAGAGCGCCAGTGTATGTTTACATCAACCCAATCAAAATAATCGTTGGGTACTGTGCGAAGCCAAAGTAAATAAGCTATTGCACAATCGGCTAAAGGGGGGCGATTACGCATCATTTCAATTTGTTGTCCGTAGGTCGCCTTAAATAGACTTTTTTTTACGGAAAATGAAATGTAAAAATGGACTTTCAAATTTTTCAGTTCTATTTCCAAGCTTAAAATTATTCCTCTCGATTATTAGCGCGCTAAAAAAATAAATGAGGGTGCTGTTGTGAAAGTAAGGCCGACGTGAACACAAGAAATGATACCCATTAGGATACGTATGTAAAATAACAACTTAGAACATTCATATCACCTGCCGACTTTAAACGTTTAGATTTCGCCTTTGCTGTCGGAGGTTTAGCCAGTTATAAAAAAATATTTTGCCCCGGGGTATCTAAAACAGAGAGCCGAAGCTGTGCCGAAGAAAACTAAACGAAACCAGTAAAGTAGCGAATAAAATTGGAAATGAGCTAAAACCGTGGGAGAGCAATATCATTATCTTAGCACTTCTTTTTTTATTCACCGGAGGAGGTCAGTATAACCCGACTTCCAGGCTACAAATCATTCGTATCGGATGTATGTAGATTTTGCGAGTTACATCGACAATTTCCTAAACGCACCGTGCAACTGCTCAAACTGCAAATTACAATTGTAAAAAACACCATAGCGCAAATAAAAGGTGACGGACTTCAAAGTGACTGTCGACGATTGTTTTTCTTTTTTAAAAGCGTACAGACAGGACCTATCACACTTTATGTCTTTCTGGCTCCTCTTGTTGTTTACACATTACGATAAGTGTCCTAGAAGCAATGCATTTAGCAAACCTTAGAGGCGCTGAATAGCCCTAACACACCACCTCTTTATTAATATTCAAGCTACTATCCATATGTGTTAAAAAAGATAATGATCATGTAGTCTTTATTCAGAGACAAATTCAGTTTATTTTATCGAACGCTTTTCGGATTTTTGACACCTCGCTGCCTTGATTGGTAAATAAACATGTCCCTTTCTACGTCCAAATAAGGAAAACTGTAATCATTTGCTGCTGAATTTTTTCTAAACTTTAGGATATTAATTTAAATTCTAAAGCCCTGTTTTTCATGGTTTTGTCACTAACCAATTGAATACAAGGTAATTATCCCTTTGCATTTAACTTGGTTTCATAAATCGAGAAAAGCTTTTGGAGCGAAGAAAACGATAGTTCCCGTGTTTGTTATTTAAATTCTGACACCTGTCACTCTCAGATAACCCTGTCTATTTAATATTAATAGCACGTGAAATTCAAGGCGATGTAAACAAGATTCTGCCTCCCTGTTTCTGCCAGGGGCAGGATTAGATCAAAGTGGTTACTAGAGCTTAGGACGTGATCTCCTCGTCTGGTAGAACAATTTGTTCTTGAAATTGTAAGAAATATTTCATACAATGTTATTTGTAACAGACAAACCCGTTTCCATGAATGAATGGAAGGAAATTCAACGTGCTGATGTAGAGAAAGTTTACGCACGCAAAAGTTCAAGCGAAGATGTCGAAATTTTGAGGCAAAGTATGGAAACCAACCAGGCGCGTTGTGAAGTGGCAAAACAACAGAACGCTCCAGTACAGGTCAAGGGCGGCAGGATCCGTCGCCATTCTTCGTACGAGCCGAATCTCGATGATATTTTAGAGGAAGACGTCGATGGTAACGGAAGAGAGCATAACCGAGACCTTGCCGAGATACATCGCGAGCGAGCTCGTAACTCACGGGTGCTGAAGAAAGATCGAGAGGGACGAACCTGGCGAAAAAGACACTTTGTTAACAACAATTATACAAGACCGAGATCGTACACAGCTTAACTCTGGCGATTTGCCCATGTTGTTATTTCGAGGTGCGAAACGAATGAACCAAAAGCAAACATTTTGTTCAAGTCACGTGCAGACGAGCGCCATGTGCATATATAACAAAAGCGTCAAAACATCTACACAAGATATCAGATATGAAATCCGAGTCCCTCGGGAATTTAAAGTCAGGCTCTCTTGCAGGAAAGCACATTTGAAATGCTGGAAAACATATAGACACTTCTTGATTTCTTGAAGGTTGCTTTGAAGAAAAGAAAATCTCATTGGGTTGTAAATGTAAACAGTAATCGCAATATCATGTTTTGATATTTTTAAACTTACGCATACCGTCGCGTCTTACAGCAAAACGGTGAGTGTGACACTTTGTTCTAGGTAGAAACTGTCATCGTGTGAGGTGTACATAAAGAAGTAAAGGATCCCCTTTTTCTAGAGAGGTATCAGTTGTTCTTCGCAACATCTGAGAGGGTTTTGTATAAATTTACAAAGATAAGATCTTTTGGGTAGCTGCGCTGCCCATGTCGCCTTTTCTTTCAAGGTTTGTTCATCAAGGCGTGACATACACACGTTTTTCCACAGTATCGGAAAATGTTTTTCCTCAAACGACCATGTTTACGAGCAAAGCGTTAATGATGTTAGTCATTAATCGCGCTAGTACAAGCATTTTATCTGCGAATAACATTTAAACGTTTGCTAAGCACAATTAACATGTTCTGAGTTTCAGTCTGTCGATGGGCCTATATCATACACAAATTCGTTTCCCAAATTGTTTGCTGATGAGACAAAATATTTTCAGAAACATGTCAGATCAAGTACACTTGGGTCTCATACGTAAATCAGTTTCCAAAAGATCGAAGAAATTGCTGTTTGACTGTAATGGTAATATTAGTGTTATTTTCCTCAATAATCTTCGATCTTCTTTTGTAATTCAAATGACACTTTGTTAGTAGAGAGAAAAAACACATCCAAGATGTCCATGTTCAAACAGGGCAAATACCATCATCTTTCTATATTTCACTCATCATTCTTATTGAGTTTGTAGATAGACAACGCGTATCAAACCTCGAGTTATATATGTATTGAAGAAAAAAGTAATGATAAAGAATTATGATAAAATTTATATTCTGTACAGTCAAATTAAAGTAAAATAAACGTGAAAGAGTTACATTTCTGCGGTGTGACACAAATCTTTACTCGTCTCTCAGCCTTTACTTACGATGTTTATCATGTAACACGTTCTAAAGAATTTTACAATACAGCGTTATTGATTCAGACCTGTAGAAATCGTAAGAATTGTTATTTTGACTGGCTTTTTGTTTCTTTGTGTTTTTTTTTCCCTTTAGGTGATTCAGAAGACTATCTTTGTCTTGCTAAATCTTCCTGTACTGACTTATGCATTTATTCCTTATTTATTTATTCATTTCTGTATTTTTTGTAAAGTTAACATACACTTCAGAGTTAATGTTAAATAAGTAAAAAAAGTTCAGAACTTTGCGAGCAAAAGAATTAAATATATCGCAAGATTCGACATCAACTTAATTATGTCTATTCATAAATTGGTTTCTTCGGCTAACATTAAACGAGAAGAAAATTTACATTTCAAAAAAGAAAAGACGAAAATATTAATTTTCTGGATGTACCAGTTGTTGCTACCAGGAAGATGCTATTGTCTGAACATGTCTTTATTAATAAACAAAGGCAGGAGGAGAATGGCAGGCTGTTCACGGCTTTTACCATATTTGTAAGCCTTTCACTATGGTGACTAATAACTTAACTAATAACAATTCCACAAGCCCAAAATTTAACATTTCAAAGTACTTTATGATAGAGGGCTTCTAGTGGAAAGAAGCGCAAAATCGATATCGCTGACAAAATTCGCGCTGTATTTGAATAATGGCAACGTACTTAATTTTCAACTCCGCAGATAATTTCTAGTCGACTAAAGGTTGATAAATCTTTCATTAGTGAGGTCGTTGCTTATAAGAAACTCTTCAAGTGTTTGTTACCATTATGGTCGGCATGTTGAAAGATTGTTAAGAAATCAAATTAATCTTCGATAAAACCTCTTCCCTTAGTCAAAACAGCTTCACTTGAATCACGTCCGAACCCCGAACAACTTTTTAAAATATATTTATAGTCTTTGATAGTTGTTACCATCATTTTAAAATTTGTTATTATTATTATTATTTCCAAGACCACCGTTGACAACCCTAGGGGCTCTGAGAAAACCAATGCGGCCTAATGTCTTCGTTTCCCAAGCTAAATTGAAGTATTTCAGCACCGATTGTTTGAATAAGCAATGCTTTGCTAATCAGATGCAAGGAAATATATTTGATCCAATGAACGAATTAATACGTTGAGAAATCAGACTGTTATAGACTGTGGCAGGATGAAAACGTTATCAAGTTGTGCAATCACAAAAAGGCCGCTAAGTTCCAGATAATCCCAAGTATTTTGCAAAGCAGAAGCACAGGTTGAAAAAAAAAAAAAAAAGCAAAATCAATAGCGAAAAAACAAACAAAACAGTACGAAAGAAAAGGCCGCAAAAAAAAAAAAAAAAAAGCCATGGATTCACATATTTTTTTAAATTGATCGTCCTCGATTGAAGTATGAACATCGTGGAACCAGTAGTACTTCTTACGCATTTATAAGTCAGGTCGATAATCTTTATTAAGACGAAAAAAGGAGCAGAAATCAAAACCCAGCTGTTTTGTGATCGGTGAATGTAAATGGAGAAGCAGAACTGAAACTGCGAGCATGCGTATGGCTATCCAATTCTATCGTTTACCTTAACCAAAACAAACAGTCGCTAAATAAAGTATGGATGGTTCACCATGAGATGTACATCGTATGAAAATTAACTCGGAGGATCAAAAATGAAATTGCTATAAATTGTTGTTGGTCTGATGGTAAACTTCAAGGAGGCTGCTTAGTGTGGCTTAAAAGCTACTGGTGAGTTTATTCCGTCGATTAAAAAAAGCTCATTCGTGAAACCCAAAACTGTCGAACAAGAAAAGACAAGAAGGAAAAGAGAGTAGGGCACTGAGACGAGCTTGTTTGATCAACCTAATAAGGAAAGGAAGTTATTTTTTGTCAATACTTCAATGCCTTTAATATATTTCTCCACGACAAGAAGCGATATTGAATCAACTGTCCCTGTAGAAATGACAGCTGCATCGTTTCATAACAAATAGAAATCAATCTAACTTCACCCTGTCGGTGAACCAATGAGCAAATTTCTCGTTTAAATCTAAATTTGAGCGTCTTAATAAAGCCCGCAGTTTAAAGCCCCAGGCCTTTCTTCAAAAGCTATGTTAGTGTTGCATATGTCAAGACTCATCTAATAATCACCACATTTGCCGTTTCAGTCAAAGTCTATGACATTATTGATCGATGAATAGTTACTCTTGACAACAATCAGAGATCACTTAGCGAAGGAGAGATTTTGAAATAAAAAACGGCCCTGTTATTTAAACGGGACTAACAGAGGAAGAGTTCTGATTACTTTCGAGAACAGTTATAGAGCAAGGATGACTAAACATCTCGCTACCGCAGTCACCCACATCTGTAATAGCGCGTACTGTAAAATAATAAGAGGCTCCTGGAAGAAACTGCGTCATTGTACAAGCCATGGGAAGTGCAAGGGCGTCCACGACACCCAAACTTTGCCATCCTGTTGATTCGCTGGAAGCCGTCGTCACAAACAGTTCATACTTAATAACTTTTGATTCGTACTCTCTGCTGGTTAGATCCCATGACAACACGATACCATTACTACTTTGCTCTACACCAAGAATAGGTTTTAAGTAAGAAGCTTTGTCTTTTTGAAGTTGCGGGCCTTCTTTGTCACCCTTTTCTGTTATATCTGAAAAATTCACGATCTGGCCAGCAACATCTCTTTGTGAATCTAACGGTTTATTGTTTCCATCCGTCTCCGAATTATTCACGTTCTTAAAATTGTCTGACAGTTTCATTCCTACGAAGTTCTGAACAGGTAACAAACGAGTGGTAAAACCAGTCCTAGAAGACAAAGCTGTAGCCGGGCAAGATGCCTCGTCAGTTATTGCTTCATTGCCTTTCAATTCCGACCCTTGCGCATTTCGTAATGGTATATTTCTGGGTTCAGGTGTACGAGTGGCAGGCAGCAACGTTTTGGTCGGGCTGTTTAGCAGTGGTTCTGAAGGCATCGATGGACTCTGCGGGGCAGATCGAAAGCTATTGGTCGGTATTATTGATGTAGTAGCTATACTTGGAGTTGTAAAAGACGTTCTTCTTTCAAGCAGGTGTTCGTTCGCCGCGTTATAAATCGTGGGTGTGATTGATTTTGCTGCTCTTGCTGAGTTTCTTTCCGAATCATTTGGCCTCTGGCGTGGTAATGACGAGTGTGTAGTATTAGGATGGAGACAAGCTCGTGTGTTAGAGGAGTACGAAGTCTGACTATGTTGTGTACTTCCTGCACCCGTTCTTTCCCTTTGAAGGGAAACTGACTTCGAGATCTGCACCATATTAACACTGAGCTGCGAAACTGGGGCTGAGGATGTTTGAACACTACTTTGATTTTGCTGGACTGACGGTTGGATTGGTTGCTGCAAATAGGCTCCATTTCTTACATTATGCGGAGTATAAGGTCTAAGGAATTGTGTTTGAATGGGAGGTCTCTGGTTTAGACAGAAATTGCTGGAGCTTGCAGTATTAAGAGCAGCCGGTAACTGTTGTGGAACAGATGTTCCACAATGCGAAGCACCTGATGCTGTAAATTGAGGGTTGCGTTGCCAATATTGATGTGCCCTTGAGTCTGGCTTAGGAAGTATTGGAGTGGGCGGCACGTAACCTGCTCTCCTCGGATGCTGGTGCAACTGTTTTTGTAGTTGTTGCTGTTGCTGCGGTTGCTGTCGCTGCTGTTGTTGTCGCTGCTGTTGCTGTTCCAGTTCCTGACGAGGCGGATGCTGCTGTAAGGGCACCTGTTGTTGGTGAATTTGAATATATGGTTGTGTAGGCAACTGTTGCTGTTGCTGAGGATGCTGCTGAGAACTGCACTGGCGAATTGTCGTCGCGTAACCACCATCACTATTACATGCAATTTGCTCTTTAGTAAAGTGAAACATTTGCCGTTGTGCCGGGTGACTAGCTGGATGCAAATCAACCCCACTAAGAGGACTAAGTGGTTGGTCCGGAGCTCTGATGGATTCTCGGGGATGACTTCTGGACCACTCTTGATTAAGAGGGTTTTGGACTACGCTGGAAGATATCTGTATTTCCGATTGTTGTGGCACTGCCCGGGAAGAAATTTGGAGTGGAGGGCCTCCAGTCAGTTGCTTACCATGCGCACTTCTTATACTCTCTGGAATAGTGGGTAAGGCCTGTGAGCATAACATACCGGCTCTTGGAGAGTTCACGTGACCTGGCAAAACATTTTGACGTTGGTGATGATTTGGACCGGATGAGCGTATCTGATTAGCAAGCTCTCCCGTCGGAACGGAACAACTTGACTTGTTCGATGCTTGTGTGACTGGAAAGAACTGTTGTGGATAAGGCAAAGGCTGCAACTCCGACAAACTCCCCTGAGTACGAGCACCAGATGTACATATAGAAGGTGACACTTGGTTCGTGGTAGAAAATTGCCCACGAGTTGCTTCGTGATTACTTCCTGGATGCAAGCGCAAATCGTCTCCGCTTCGTACTGGATTTTGATTTCCAACTGTATGTCTTTGATTCGGATCCGGAGGGCAACAGAAGCAGCCACCTGGAGGTCGTCGACGTCTACCTACAGTACTTGACATTGATGCAGTACGTGCATTTCCACTCTGAGTCTGCGTCATTGCAGGCCTTGATGATGACAAGTCAGTTTGATGGACTGGCGGGAGAATTTGGCTGATGATTGTGGATATATTAGCTGTGTTATCTTTCGGTATTGGAAGATTCATTGACTCCAGCCGAGGTCGAGGTAGGGTTGGCATTTGAGCCGCTTGCGGTGGAACATTTTGAGCTAATGAAATGTTTGCCGAGGACGGAATGAACTGCTGAGGACGAACTGTGGCAATTCGATTTACTGGTCCGGTTGCATGCTGCTGAGCAGAAGAGGAAGAGTTACTTGGCCAGGAACCTATGAAACCAGAAAGTTGTGCTGGCTGATCTGTCACCATTACTACCTCACGATTTACAGGTAAATTGTTTATTCCCGAACTTTGCGAGGGCAAGTTTGGATCTTGCAAAGGCCTGGCCCTATTACCTTGAGAAATAAGTGTTTGGTTTGAGAGAAGACGATGTTCCGGAAGTATAAAATCACAAGGTTGTTGACGAGGCTGTTGTGGTACAAGGAGGCTGCCAGAAGAAACGTGCTGAATTTTGGGTAGCGCACTGTCTGTTTGGGGAGAATGCGTATACTGCTGTGATTCTACCTGTTGCTGCGACGTATTCTCTCGCATTATCTCAGAAAGCTTTGGTATTTGAACACGCGCAGATGCATCATTTACCTGTTTCCCGCAAACTTTGATAATGACAGGGCCATCTCCGGGAATGGCCAAGGACCCACGTTCCTCTGAGGCAAATGATGAAGCTTTGTCTATCCCTTGACAGGCAGACCATGCTCGACTCAAGATCTACGTGAAGTAACAAAAAACAGTTCACATATTGTTAATAAAACAAGAGTCCTGTAAGTCTGTAAGTACAACCTTAAAGAAAAGAAATTCTCAAACTTACCATTCCCATAGAGACTTGAGTACCACGTGACACAGTCTTAGTCGCCCTTTTCTCTTTCTAAAGAATAGAAGACATACAGTTAACCACCATGCACAATGCACCATGCACAATGGTCCCCTTTGATAATTTATCCATACTCACAGTCGTGAAATCCTTCACGAGTTTAATCAAATTTTATCATCGACTTTTTTCTAAAATAAGTACACAAACAGCTGTAATGAATTCTCAGGTACTGCTGTTCCACAGTTCAAGTATTTTTGTAAATCTTCACTTATGACTCAAATGTGTCGAACTATTTAGGTGTTACACTTGCCTGTGAACCCAGCACAACAGTTTTTCTACAGAACAGTGATGTTGTTTGCAAACAATAGAAGAGACTCTACTGCAGTGGCTGGTCATTAAGCAAAAAAAAAAAAAACAAACAAGAAAAAGTTTTACTGGCAGTTTCCTATGAAGCAGTGAAACAATTTCAGCTCGATCTAGCTATTTTATCTCCTGAGCACTAGAAAAAGATTTGTACCAGGTGTTTCTTAGGAATAAACTGACCTCGTTGTGGAGATTCATCATGGATGTCTGGAGTCTCTCTGCTTTATCTTCCAGCTGCATGTTTCTTCTTTCAAGAATCGCCACCTTGCGCCTTAAAGCTGAAACAGTACCGCTATAAACTGCCGAATGTTGCAATTTTAACATACGTTTAGCCACCAAGTCCTTAAGCATCTGTGGAGCAATGATAATAACCGCAGTCACTAAGCAACACGGAATCTATTGGTTTTATATGATGACAAAGAAAAATATTTAATGGTGACGTCATTCGTGTGTCTGTCTTCCAATATATCGCAAGTAAGAACCAATCAAAACGTATGTATAATTTAGCTTATTATATAATTCTTGATACTTACTAACTACTATGGTTTATAGTGTGGTTTAAGAAATTTATGCCTTTATTTGAACTGATGTTTTAACTGGCAGAGAGCCTATTTCGTCAAAGAGAAGTGTTGCAATGCACTGTCAACGAAACGATCATAGTAATACCATTACGGGTTAGGCAGCGGTTGCCTTGGAAAATCAGCATTAACCGACTCTGCCACTTTAGTTTGTTTGTATTGTTTTCACCTATTTAGAATTTGATGCGACATGTGAAATCAGTATTTCAAAGAAAAGTAACCTCTTCCAAACAAATCCATTACGCACGTCCTACCTAGGAGCCCGATATCATGAAGTTTCGCTCATCAAGGCCTTTGATACTAGAATGGTATACAATTGGAACGGCTGAGATAACTGGAATAACCATGTGTACAACAGTGCTCTTATCCAAGAATTAAATCACAGGATTAAGTGTTCTACCTTGCGGAATCGACGCTTGAACAAATCGCTGGCATCACCAGTTATGTCACATGCATCGGTCGAACCAAGGCTTCCTTCGCTGACAAGCTGGTTTGAAAAGGCAGGTTGATTCACAGTATTTGTTCTCTTTCTATGACCACTTCTGATTGATAACGCATTCTTTGATTGCTTGCTTACGCTTAGATTATGATAAGTGGAAGAGGAACTAACTCCAATTTCGGGTGATGATCGCTGCACTGAAAAGCGCTTACGCACGCTCCTTCGAGATCGAGTCGTAGCTGTGGCAGGTGAGGCCCCAATGCAAGGAGAAATTGTTTCATTTATGATTCCTGACTCATTCTCAGCAGATGTTTCATTCATCATTGGGATGGTAGGACTTGCGCATCCTCGGTCATCATTGCTTGGGTCAGGTCTGCTTTCGTTCAAAAGCGTTTCCCGAAAAGTATTGTCGTTGGAATCCTTTTGTAAGGCGACACATGTAAGTTCAGGCGTTTCACCGCTGTCCACTGGTTCTTGTTTGATTCTATGCAAAAGGTCTGCATTCAAGTGGACGACAACATGTCCTTCTGTGCTCTCCTCCGTAAAATCTTCATCTGCACCTTAGAGATACAGGTCGTGAAGTTTACACAAACAAGAAAAATGAGCAAAATTTGCATCTGTTTTTATCTACTTAGTCTAGTCGGCTAGACAAATTATTTTATAAAACAAAGCACACCCTGTAAAATTCAAAGACAACTGGAAAAAACTATAATCCTAACCCCGAGCCAACCCAACTCAGGCCAGCAAGCCCTTATGGAGACAATCGCAATGACAGATGTATTGATGAATTTCAGAACATTACAAGGCAACGAGCAACGAGCCAACTTATTCAAAACGATTCTTCTCCATCTTTGACCATTCCTTATTCAAACCTAGTCATCACTATAACTTCGCGAATGTACGAATACGGTGTTTTGTTGTATACTAGAACAGTAGATAGCATTGAAGGTACACTCCGACTGGGTACTCAAACTCTGAGTATCCTTTCCTATTCTCCTCTGAGCAACTGGCACGGTATTTGCACCCGAAAATATTGAAATCGTCGCAAGAATAAATGATCGAGTTACTTCAGTTTACCTTAGTATCAGTGGTTAGCGGTGGATATTTACCCACCTTAACTTCAGTAAACATTTGTTAATTATCAACTAGACAAAAGCGAGACTTCCACATATCTTTTTTTTAATCAAAGTGTTCGAGCCTTGGTGTAACTGTCGTTCTTTACCTGACCCTAGTTTAGGGCCATGAAATGATCTTTCTTTTGCATCAGTTGGGTCGTAGATTAATGTCTTACCATTGTTTGGCGGTATGCCCGGTTGTTGGTTAGTTGTGATTGAATAAGCAGTTTCAGTACGACTGTAAAGCTAAGTCGCACTGTTCGGTTCGTTCGTTGAAGAGTTTTTGATAAGTCTTAGCGGAGAAAGGA